TGTGTGCTGTCCTTCCCTTCACCTAAGAGAATTCTTATGTACTAACTAGTTAGTAAATAACCCTCACACTCCCTCCCCACCCTCATAACCATCGAAGAATGTTTTCTTCTGTGTTTAAACCTTTTCTTGAGTTCTTATAATAGTGATCTTATACAGTACTTGTCCTTCTGTGACTGACTAAATTCACTCAGCAAAATGCCCTCCAGCTTCCTCCATGTTACGTTTCACGGCTTCATTGTTCTTTATCGTTGCGTGGTATTCCACTGTGTGGATATACCGTAATTTATCCATTTGTCTGTTGATGGGCACCTAGGTTGTTTCCATCTTTTTGCTATTGTGAACAGTGCTACAGTGAACGTGGGTGTGCATGTATCTATTCATGTGATTGCTCTTATTTTTCTAGGATATATTCCAAGGAGCGAGATAGCTGGATTGTATAGTACTTCTATTTCTGGCTTTTTAAGGAAGTGCCAAATCAATTTCCAAAATGGTTGTACCATTTTACATTCCCACCAACAGTGTGTAAGTGTTCTAGTCTCTCCAGCATTTATTATTTTGTGTTTTTTGGATTAATGCTAGCCTTGTTGGGGTGAGATGATATGTCATTGTAGTTTTGATCTGGATTTCTCTAATGGCTAATGATCGTGAGCATTTCTTCATGTGTCTGTTAGTGGCCTGAATATCTTCTTTGGCGAAGTGCTTGTTCATATCCTTTGCCCATTTTTAAACTGGGTTATTTGTCTTTTTGTTGTTGAGGTTTTGCAGTATCTTGTAGATTTTAGAGATTAGATGGTGATCAGATTTGTCATAGCCAAAAATTTTTTCCCTATCTATAGGTTGTCTTTTGACTCTTTTGGTGAAGTCTTTTGATGAGCATGAGTGTTTGATTTTTAGGAGCTCCCATTTATCTAGTCTTTCTTCTGGTGCTTGTGCATTGTTACTCACAGTTGTGTTGTGTTTATGCCATGTATTAGGGCTCGTGGTGTTGTCCCTATTTTTTCTTCCATGATCTTTATCGTTTTTGATTTTATATTTAACTCTTTGATCCATTTAGAGTTAGTTTTTGTGCATGGTGTGAGGTATGGGTCTTGTTTCAGTTTTTTGCAGATGGATATCCAGCTATGCTAGCACCATTTGTTAAAGAGACTGTCTTTTCCCCAATTAACGGACTTTGGGCCTTTGCCAAATATCACCTGCTCATAGGTGGATGAATTTATGTCTGGATTCTCAGTTCTGTTCCATTGGTCTATGTATCTGTTGTTGTACCAGTACCAGGCTGTTTTGACTACTGTGGCGGTATAATAGGTTCTAAAATCATGTAGTGTGAGGCCTCCCACTTTGTTCTTCTTCTTGAGTAATGCTTTACTT